TATATATATATATATATATATATATATATATACATAAAAGACTACACTATATCTAGTAATCTCCCGACAATTCACAAAGGTTCCAGAAGGTCGTGGCGTGATACTAATCACGTGATCTCGCTGATGCAACAGTAATTTAATTTTTTTACTAATCCAATTTCAAAATGAAGTAAATTTATTGCCTTGGTAAAACTTAGAATTAACACCGATAGTAACAATACGAAAAATACAAAGTAAATATGTTAAGGTTAAAAACAGTCTTGAAGCTGAAGTACAGGTAATTGAATAAATTGAAAGGTTTCAGAAAAAACTTCTTGGAATGTTGGATTATTCTGAATAAGGTATGGTTATCTGTGAGGATACGTTCAGAATAAGATCATACCTTTTCCTACTCAAAAATTGAAGAAATGATAAATGTTGTGATTGTATTGAAGATTAGAAAAATGTAGGATTAATAGCATAAACTGATGATTAGGTCTCTGATTTCTTTATGCTATATTCCGTATATGTTAGGACACACTGACAGAAGTTTTAAGATTTGGAAAATGCAAGGTAGAATATAGTTAAGACAGGGACATTTGATCTTTCAAAGCTGTCCATGCATACCCACTTTTGTTGAAAATATAAGTTTAAATCTGCCTTTCATGTTTCAGGGCCTCCCAATGGCACAGTGATATGTCTGCAGACTTGCAATACTATAAACTGGGTTTTGATGCCCATAGTGGGCAGAGCACAGATAGTCCATTGTGTAGCTTTGTGTTTAACTACAAACAAACATGTTTCAGAAATCAATTATTCCCCCTCTTGTAAGGTGCTGGCATTCCCTACTCTGCATAATAATTCATTCTATAAGCAAGTCGCTCTGTCAGAAAATTTAAACTGTCTTATCTGGAGCCTATTTTGTTTTTACCAAATCTTATGCTTGTCTTTTTTCCAAATATCATTAGAATATAGCACAAAAAATAAATAAATCTTTCTCTATTAATCCCACAGGTCATCTTGTAAATTAGACTAAAATAATTTCTTATCCTTCTTTACTCCAGACAGAATAGAGATCTTAACCTATCCCTGTAAAATAACCATTAAATACCCAGAATCATCGTAGTAGTCTTCCTCTGAACACTTTACAATAAGTTATTCTTCATTAAATGCCCCCCAGTGGCACAGCGGTATGTCTGTGGACTTACAATGCTAGAAATTGGGCTTTGATACCTGTGGTGGGCAAAGCACAGATAGTTCTTTGTGCAGCTTTGTGCTTAACTTCAAACAAACAATCTTCATTACATAAGGATACCTAAAGTATACATAATTTTCCAAATTAGACCTAACTAGTAATTTGTATAGAAATAAGCACATCTTTGACACGTAATTAATATGGTTATAAATGCATACTAAACTTTACTAAAAACACAGATCAGTTCTTCATGACATGAGTTACTTATCTACCACTATGCCAAAATATGTTTCTTCAGTCACTATGTAGTGTGTTCCTATCTATAAAAATGTGAATTGAATTATGACAACCTAAATGCATTACAATTTATATTGCACTTACTATAATTGTTTGTCAATATTCATGATGAAGAACATAATAATAATCAGGTGATAGGCAATTTGATTCATCAAGGTTTCTCCTCGCACACCAGAAGAATCCATCAATATAAATAAACTGACTTGTTTTATAAGTTTTCCACATATTACATCAGATTTGATAATTCTTGTATGTTACAACAATTAGTATAAAGAACTAGCCAAAAGATATGGTGAAATAATTTTCTGTTCAAGATGTATAGGAAATCTAAGTAGGAATTAATTGTAATTTTGTTCTATTCTTAATTTGTTTGCGTGTGTTTGGTAGACATGTTGTTAGTCATGTACCAAAAAGTAATGTGGTGCATAAATAGTTTTAAAAATGTGGGTTTGTATGGACCTCTTGTCCTAAATTTTAGGATTAAATATAGCCTTTCACTTTATGATATACTATGTAATAAACACTTAGTATAATTCAAACTACAAATTGTTACATGTAGTTCTATCAATAAATGTTTAAGCCTATGATATGCAGCTATGTGTTTGATAGGTATAATTTTGTTGTAAAAAGTTATATAAATGGCTGTAATGTAGTAAGTTTAATTTTGACAATGCTTTGGGACAACAAGGGACCTATTGGTCCATCTAGGCTGTCCCATTCTCTAAACTAAATTAAAACTATTAAATAAATAATTTAAAAAAAATTTTAAAGCCAGCCCTTATCATTCATATAGTTATCAAGCTTTCTCTAAAAATCACTTAAATTTACTGCCTCCATGACATCCAAAGGCCAACCACCCTGTTAAAAAACTATTAGCTGAAGATGACTCCTACCTTGCTAAAATTTATATGTGTGACCTAGTCCTACTATTCTTACTGTTAAGTATGAAAAAAGATACATCAATATTATCAATTCTCCTTACAATCTTAAACACCTTGATCATATCCCCTCCTCCCCTTACTTTTTTTTTTAAGAGAAAACAATTTCAAAGATTTTAATATCTTCTCATATGACAGCCCCTTAAACCCAGGTACCATTCTAGTAGTCCTTTTTTGAACCCTTTCCAAAAATTGAAAGTCCTTCCTAGGGTAAGGAGCCAAAGACCAGTGACCTATACAATGAAATTATAACCTCTTTATATTTGTATTCAATATTTCTGTAGATACAACCTTAAATCATATTTGCCATACCAATAGCAACAGCACACTGCTTCGATGGCTTTAGAGACTGACTGACTATTATACTAAGATCCCTTTCCTTATTAACACTTAAGATTATTCATGTCCAAATTATACTTATAATTCAAATTGTGATAACCCACATGCATTATTTTACATTTATTACAATTAAAACACATTTGATTGTATTTAAAACCATCATGTACATGTAAAAATGTTTAAGGCTAGACTGACCAGATTTTATCCATGGGGAATTTAAATGTGATGAAATTAGTTGACAGTATTTATCCATTGTATTGAGAGAAAAATACATTTAGAGATATTTGACAGAAAAGTACTTTATTTATTGTTTTATGTGTATGAATTAATAAACATTTACTCTAAGAAATAAAAAGAAAATAATTGCAAATGTTTTTGGTGTGACATACAAACTAAACTGACACTATCGCTGTTAATGTGTTATAACAATTGAATGAATTATTAATTTAAGTAAATCTTTATTTGGCACAATTTCTCCATTTACATCGTATCATAAGATCCAGTGAAAAACTGTTCTGAGCTGAAAAACATGATAATTTGGAAACAATTATTTGCCTTTCTTGTTGCCTGTAGTCTCTGTATACCATGCAAAAGGACTATGACTTCTTGTACTGTTTTGTTTTACACCTTGATTGGATGTTGATAATAGAAATGTTAACCATACAACTTATTCTGGTAGTATATCTTAAAACAATGAGCCTGACCTTTTCAGAGTTCTTTGACAGCTGCAGTTATAAGAAGTTGACAACTCAGTTGACCTTTGTCTCTTGAATCTGTTCACTTTTTTATTTTGCTCCACTAAGGTTATAAGGAGTTGTGTTATTGTCTAACACAGTTAATTAATCTTTTCAATATCAGGGACCAGCTCACTGCTTTCCTAAATTGTGGTGGACCAATAAAATGGAAGTACAACTAAAAACACATTACACCTTACATATGAATATTCTATCTGTTTGTTTTTTTTTGTGAAATCTGGTAGACTGACAATGTATTTTTGATGAAACAATGAGAAGTGCTGGTCTAACACAATGTTAAAATTTCTCTTAGTGAAACATGGATAGTAAATATTTTATATTTGTGGGTGTACGTTTACTTTATCCTTTATCCATTCAGTTTTCTGTTCTTTACAACAAAAACAGGATCCTTCTGTTTGTTCTAACCTTTTCTCTTGCTCTTTTTTATTTCCTTGTTTTGGTTGTTGTGATTGTAGTATTTGCAACAGCCTAAAAATCTTTCTTGTCTTAACAATGAAAGTTTTTCATTTTTGATTGTCTAGTATTTTGAATTACAATAATGTGATCTTGGTTATATTAGTTTGGCATGAATATTTTGGGA